GGTGAGTGATGTTGATAGAGGCAGGTGGTAAAACAGGTCCAAGAGTCCTGAGAATCTTCAGGCAAGTTTCACTGAGCACAGAGTTCACAAAAAACACAAGGTTAGTAGTTTCAGGATCACAAGTATAAGACTGGAGGCTGAGGATCATTACCCATAGGAAGCGATGTATCAGCGATGACCTGCTCACTGGACCCGCCTTAAATAGTAAAACCACCAGGAGGACTCAAATGGTTGCAGCTGTGTCAATTGCTGATCCAATTAGTGACAGATGCTTCAGTTTTATTTTGTTGATTGCCAAATAGCTACAATGACAAAATATTATAAACGGACAAATAACCAAAACTATTGCTCACTATTACTTAGAAAATGATAATCGTGATCTGTTTTCAAGCTGCACTAGTTAATGCCCAAAATATGGACATTGTTGCTTTCTCTGGTGCTCCCTAAAGAGAGAATCATCCAATAAGCCAGCAACACAGTGTAACATGTAATAAATACAGGCTAAGTTGTTGTGACTGCGACTACAAAAGCAGCATCAGAAGAATATTCTTTAAAAGAGCCTAAGGTGTGAATGAAGACTGGAAACAATGATTTTAGTTTTGGTTTGTATTTAAAGTGATTTTAACAACAACAAATGAATACACAAACGAGAATACAATAATAAAGAACACAAAATAATTTAGTCACAGAAGACTCATTTCAAAGTCCATCATCGAAGTCCATAGTTTTAGCTCGCCATCTTTAAATCTTTCTGAAGATTTTAGTCCAAAACAAAATAAAAACCCAACCTAAAAGGCCATAAATACACATTAAACATTTCACCCAAAAGATAGAATAACCAACTGTCTTTTACATATACATAAAGGAAAATGTAAATGGATTTATATATACATGTACATATACATTTTAAATTCATGCATTGGTGTATGCATATCAAATATAAAAAACAATTAGCAGCAATGGTTAAATTTCTAATAATTTTAAGAAGTTCCAGCAATTAAGTAACCATGTTACTCAACCATCACTTAAGTATGGTCAACCACAAAAATGTATTTCAGAACATATTTCAAGTCTATCAATTTAAAGTGCACTTTCCAAACGTCTTAATAATCAATTATCAAAAATAAAATAATTCAGCATCAAGTCTTTCAAAATACTCAAGCAGAGGAAAAAAATAAAGATATTGTGCAATATTAAATGTCAAACAAAATGTAGCTACATTCTCAATAAATTTATCGGCATACACAACTTCATTGCCATTTTAGCATTAAATGGAAAAGTGTGAGAATACACACAGTATATAACTAATGCACCAAATAACAGTTGGGTGCATATATCAGGTCTTTGTTCACAATTCAGCTTCCATTATATAACCAAAGGTTATTGTTTTACCTTTTCAATGGAGTAAGGAGTATTTGACCTCTGTGTGTGGCCCAGTGGCTATTAATGGCAGAATCCCAATGGAGTTCTGAATTAGCAGCGCCAGCAAATTCTGATAAAAACAATACTTCAGTGAGAAATCAATGGTTGTTTTAGACATGAAACAATGTTGCTACTAAATGACAACAGACTCACTAATCAGGTTTGGAAATGCAGATTTGAAGGTGTGCATCAATTTGTTTGGGAAACGCCCAACAGACCAGTGGAGACACACCAGGAAGTGAACTGAGGTCCAGGCTTTTGAAGAAAGTTGGAGAGTTTGGGAGCAACACAGGAAGTAGACCCACAACAACAAAAGTCATCTGACTACACATCGGTTACAACAGTCTTATTTGATAAAATATGAATACGAAATATGAATAACATGTGCACGCCATGAGCTATCTAGCCTGCATGTAGCTATGATTTACAAGTAGTCGTACTAAGTCACTAGCCTTACTTTAATGTGCTATTAGGTGGTCTGCAGTGTCAGAAGTCAGTCCAGCTGAAATTCTGTTTTTAACACAATTTAATCTCAAATTGTGATATAAAATATCACAATTGAGATATTGAGATATAAATTTAACAATTTATATATCTGTAGCTTGTGCTCAACATGAATTAAAAACAGTTAATTTTTATCCATTGCAGTTTCACACAATTCTGCAGGCAACTGTTTGGACAACTAAGTGGCAGCATGGGGGCTTGCGAGCAATTTCTTATTTCAGATATCTAAAAACGTCACTTTGACTAGTCATAATTACATTTGAGATATCTGGAATTGCAATTACGGATGTTTGAACCTTCAAAAGATGAATCCAATGACATCATATTAGATAACTTGAATTACATTTTGATTAGTCAAAATTCTTTTTAAGATATCTTGAATTGGAATTATGACTAGTCAGAATGTTGATACAGATATCTTAAATAACATTCCGGATAGCCAAAATGTATTTATTCCTAGTCAAAACTCATTTTTAGATATCTAGAATGTAATTACAGATAGTCATACGAAATGGATTTTATGTTAAAACGGCCTGCCATATTGTTATGAAAAGGGCAACTCCAAGTCAACACCAAGAAACYTCCATGTTTTTGATGGAGACCCTGTTCAAAAAATTTTTTTCTAAGGGCATTTGAGAATGGAGTAGAGGCCAAAACATCCAGCTGGAGGGACGCAGCCTTGTGCACAGTTGCCAGCATTTACCATCAGAACTGTGAGAATCTGTGTCTTGTGTGTGTTTTGTGTTATGCTTCCCAATATTGGGCCAGCCCCTGTGGACCTGGCCGTTGAGCAGGGAACACTTAGCAAACCTTGGTTTGTTTGCTGATGTGGTGCGCACTGTGGTGGCAAGATTTACCAAGAATGCAGAAACACGTTGAAATAAATGCACATAAAGTCTGCGGGTATGGTCGTCAAATGATTTAATCTGAACAACAACAGAGCAGAAGTCAATCAGAGAAGTCTGTCAAGTTGTGGCTGCCGCATCAGCACAGAGCAGCCGATAATATAACATCCTGTAACACGTTTACAACCAATCACAGTTCGACAACTGTAACCACCTAACCAATAACAGGGCTCTCAGCCCAGGAACTACCTTATCAAAATAAGAGAGGTCATGCATTGCTGGAGTCTTGAAGTCTAGGGCAACAGATTAAAACAGCCTAAACTAGTCATCATAAGATATGAGTACTGGACAGCGTCAAGGTAAAACAGATAAAAATAATTAGTCCATAACACGCACCATCCAGGATGCGCGCACAGCATCCATGGTTTTCATCCTACACAGCCAAGTGGTAATTCTTCCAGCGCTGGTGGAGAAGGATGCAGACCCAGTCTCATGTTCCTTGTCCTGCATTTTGTCCTTCCTACAGATATTTATGGACAGGGGCTTAGCCTTCAGCACCGTTAAGACAAATGCTGCAGCGATTTCCTTCTGTCACAAGGGTTTCGGTGAAAGGACGGTTCTTTATCACCCGTTGGTGAAACGTTTTCTGTAGGGCGTGCACAGGCACAGACCTGTAACGTGCACATTCGTATCACAGTGTGTTTTAATACTGGTGTTATGCGTCCTGACTAAAGCGCCTTTCAAGCCTTTGGATCAGTTTTCACTCAAGTTCCAGTCACAGAAAACAGCACTGCTGTTAGTGCTAACATCAGCAAGAGAGTCAGTGAGCTGTCTGCCTTGTCAGTGTCTCCTTACATGGGACACATGGGACAAGAGTGTTGGTGAATCAAAGACTGGCTGATGATAAACTGGCAGAGTGTTGAGGGAAACGGCTGGCTTAAATACAGAGGGACACAGGTGAGTTGTATGAGCTGATTAACTGAGGATCTGTGAAGGGAGGGGGAGCAGGGCTGTGACAAGGCTAAAGACAAGAGCTTCTAAAAACACATGACATGAGATGAAAACAAAAATAAAACTAAAACTTGACCTAAAACTATAACACAGCTTGATTAAACTGGGAGCAGATATCAACAAGGTCTGCCTTGCAATTTTAATAAAGTCAAGTGAATACATTTATCTGGAGGATTTTAATGAATATTTAGCTTTTTATGTGTAGAAAAACAATATAAAGTTCTTGTTTTTCTTTTTTTTTTTCAGAAGATGCAACAGTCTGGGAACGCTCCTCTGCACCTGGCTATWGTGGCGATGGCAACGAAGACCTGTAAAAGTTCCCAGGATGATGTTTGCTGCATCTCTGAGCTCCTTCAGCACGGAGCAAAGCCGGACTTGGTGAACAAGGCTGGACTATCTCCTCTGCACCAGGCGTGCAGCATGGCTAAAGAGGAGCTGGTGGATCTGCTGCTGACACACGGGGCCGACGTCAACAAGKAGAGCCAAGCTGGGGAGAGCTGCCTGTTCCTGTTCCTGAGRCACAAACCAAATGTGAAGAATCACATGCTGCTGATCAAACTCCTCAGCCTGACCTCCCCGCTCACGCTCTACAACCAGAACGGCTGCTTACCTTCAACCTTGACTCAACCATAAACGAGACCAACTTTTAAAACTAATGCGACAGCCGAGAACACTTCAGCACATTTGCAAGAGTAACATTTACCTGAAATACGTCGGTGAAAGGAAAGAGGACTTAAGCAAAGTCTTGCCTGAAAGTCTCTTTGAGTTTGTCTTCAATCGCTGGGAGGTTGAGGACATCTSTTTTGTGCATGACAGTCAGTGTGAAGCTACACCTCAAGCTTAGGCTGAAATAATAAAATGAATGTTACCTTCAGGTCTCTGTGCATGATGCCTCTGGAATGAATGTACTCCACTCCTTCAAGTATGTTTTTCAGCAACCTTAGTGTGTGTTCGCTATCAACACAGTCATATGGAGCTGTATATATTTATATATATAAAATGGCATTATCATGAGCTTTATTATTTGGGAACATATTTGGGGTCATTTACCCGGCCCAAGCCCGGCTCTGATTTGTTCCGCTATTGGCTTCTGGTACCCCAGGTGCTGCCAATCAGGTGTCCTATATATGATTTATAAGCATTGTTTTAACAAAGAAATAATCTACCAAACACAAATGTTGTTCCTTTTTGTGCTAAGTATAACTTATTCTCTAGTTTTGTGCAAACATCTGAATATGAACTCTACTTTGAAGATAGATATGTATCGAAACTTACCTGCAAAATTTGATCTTTTCCACATATTTATTTCTTAATCTTTTACGTTCAGTCCTGCATTTGGAGAAATGTATTTGACAGTGAAATACAGGTAAAATTCCTGAAATCAAGGGAGATCTAAAGCCTCAGTTTGGGGCCTTGTGAGTCATTTTGACCCAAGGGCAGCAGGAGGGTTTTATGGTCTTTTTTTGTTTTGAATTGTCTCATTTTATAATTTTCTGAGTATCAATAAATTAAATAAAACTATGGCTATGTCTGAGTTCAGGGGTTGCAGCCAATGTAGATCTTGGCCCATGTTGTCACTCCCTACATGGGCCATAGACCACCAGAGATGCATAAACGGCTGTGAAATGAGACGTAACTAAAAACAAAACAATAATTTGGGTTTACCTCAGTATCTTTGCTTGCAATTGCATTTGATTTAACATCTCGTCGCAGCATAGGCTACACTTCATTAGCTAAATTGCTTAACTGTCATTTTGAAGCAAATACTTTGGTCTGTGAAATGATTTTAAGCTCTACCATAAAAGAAAACTAAACTCCACCAGGAAAAAAAATCAGCCATGTTCATTTAGTTTTTCTGACAGTGCAATGAATGCTGGGATATTGTCTGCAAGTGGTAGATACATAGATGCAGGAGACGTTTTCAGGGTCTGCTACATGATCAGGCACCCACAGCCGACAAATGCACACTTGGGCCTAGATCAGCTGCAGATTGAGACACAGCCAATAAATCATATCCATAAAGTAATTCAGTATTTTGTAGGACATTAAAGGAAATGCTCCAGGTGAGACTTGAACTCACAACCTCGGCATTGCTTCACAAGTCACTGTCATATAAGTACCACGCACTGACCAATTGTGCCACTGGAGCTCTGTGGTGTCTACCACCAAACTGTAATTTGGTTTTAGTGAGTAAGGATGGCTGAAGAACCCATATGAGCTGGGCAGGGGTGGTTCTAGGGGTGGGGACACAGGGGCATTGGCCACTTTTGAAGTTTGATTGGCCCCCTGAAGTGCCCCTGTCCTGTCACTCATCTGTCCTTTGCCCAGCCAAGAGCAATGATGCTGGGTGCAGTTCCATGTCCAAACACTAGAAGCGCTAATGAGACAAACAGAAAAGTCCTGCATGAATAAAGTGAAGAAAAAATGACTAAATGAAGTCTTTTTCTTTTCTTAAAATTTGAACAATCCTGCAGAAAAAGTCTTTCAACTCACAAATGATGGCTGGATTCACTCACATGCTGTGCGTTTGAGAGTATTTTATCTATTTACCATTAAAATGCATGGGAAGTTGTTAAGAAGATTGTCCTGTTTAAGCATTTTTTTTAAATTACAAGTGTTTAAACGTGCAACTGGTTAAATATATACACCTTACCAATACCAGGTATTTGTGTGCAAGGATGCTGAATAAATATTTGGCCCCTCTATGAATATTGTGGCCCCTTGATGGCCCCTTACACTGAAAATATCTCAGATCCGCCACTGGAGCCGGGACCTTGTAAGTGGGCCCCTGCTCTCCCCAAAAAGACACTGGTCTTTATTCAAACCTTTGCATCCCTCGGATGAAGGACCGAGGTTAGAAACATTCAGTGTTCTGAGCTTCTCAGGATCCAAAAAGGGGTTCACAAGATTTATTTTCCTTTGACTGGTCAGAACCAGGTACTGGCCTAAGTAGCGCAAAGACGTCTCTAATCCATCACACCAATCATTTTTATAGAGTCCCATTGTGTGGTGGTGGTGGAGCAGATTGTACCCAGTTAGGACTCCAACCAGTGTACTTAGAGTTTTCCTTGTCAGGGTGATGAGATCTTGCTGTACTGCATGCAGCTTTTCCTAAGACATGTGAATCTAGTGAAACCAGGTTGTGTAAGACTTTAAGGTCTGCTGTGGGTTTTGTTCTGATGGAACTTGTGACATTCTAGATAGAATAAAATAACTGCAACTCCACAAGTTTTTTCTCATGATTTGGTTTGTTACAAATGGCAGAATAAAAGGCTGTGAAATGAGACGTAACTAAATGCAAAACAATAATTTGGGTTTACCTCKGTATCTTTGCTTGCAGTTGCATTTGATTTAACATCTCGTCGCAGCATAGGCTACATTTCATTAGCTAAATTGCTTAACTGTCATTTTGAAGCAAATACTTTGGTCTGTGAAATGATTTTAACCTCTACAATAAAGAAAACTAAACTCCGCCAGGATTTTTTTTTTAAAATCAGCCATGTTCATTTATTTTTTCTGACGGTGCAATGAATGCTGGGATATTGTCTGCAAGCGTAAAACACACAGATGCAGGAGACGTTTTCAGGGTCTGCTATATGATCAGGCATCCACGGCCGGCAAATGCGTACTTGGGCCTAGATCAGCTGCAGATTGAGACACAGCCAATAAATCATATCCATAAAGGAATTCAGTATTTTGTAGGACCTTAAAGTGAGTAGGGATGGATGCAGAACCCATACAAGCATGGGCCTCGTGAGTGGGCCCATTGCTCTCCTCAAAAAGACACTGAACTTGCAACCTGTAAAAATGTGATTTGTGTACCTGTGAAAAAAAAAAATCTGCAAAATTTAGATTTGTGTACCTGCAGAAATAATTTGTAGTTGTATTTAAAAATTTCACCTGCAAAAAAAATTTCTGAATGTAAAGTCACAGAAAAAATCATTACAAATGTGTGCGTGTGGTCACTGGGGGGACTCTCCTAGTTCTCCCCTATGATCTGAACTGTGGGGTGGGTGGGCGGATCTTCCCGTGCGGGTGCCCCTTGGGGCTCTGTGCTCGGGATTCCTCTCGGGCCCTTGGGCTCTGGTCTTCCCTGTCTGCCTCGTGTCTTGGGGGTTGGGTCTCTGATCCTCCACAGTCACTATTAAATATTCCATTGGAGAAATCTTGTATATACACGCATGTTCACAACTGCTCACAAACAGGTGTTCTGATCCGGGGGTTCTGACTGGTCAATGAGTGTGTATGTCTGTGTGTGTATATAG